GAGCCGGTGGATACGAAGTAGAGAACCCAGCTGACGGTGAGAGAGGGAGGGGAGGGGCTGAATTGTGAGGAGTGTGGGCCCAGAACCGTGTCTACGCGGGAAACCTTTAACCCGGAAAGTTATGAATTGGACAAAAGCTTCCGGCTAACCAGATTCACTGAACTAAAGGGCACGGGATGCAAAGTGCCTCAAGATGTCCTGCAGAAGCTATTGGAATCCTTCCAAGAGAACCACTTCCAAGAAGATGAGCAGTTTCTGGGAGCTGTTATGCCAAGACTTGGCATTGGAATGGATACTTGCGTCATTCCTTTGAGGCACGGTGGTCTTTCCTTAGTTCAAACTACAGATTACATTTATCCTATTGTAGACGACCCTTACATGATGGGTAGGATAGCATGTGCCAATGTCCTCAGTGACCTGTATGCAATGGGGGTTACAGAATGTGACAATATGCTGATGCTCCTGGGAGTCAGTAATAAAATGACTGACAGGGAAAGGGATAAAGTGATGCCCCTAATTATACAGGGTTTTAAAGATGCAGCAGAGGAAGCCGGAACATCTGTAACAGGTGGCCAAACAGTATTAAACCCCTGGATTGTCCTGGGTGGAGTCGCTACAACAGTCTGCCAACCCAATGAATTTATCATGCCAGATAATGCAGTACCTGGAGATGTGCTTGTGTTAACAAAACCCCTCGGTACGCAAGTGGCTGTTGCTGTACACCAGTGGCTAGATATTCCTGAGAAATGGAATAAAATTAAGCTAGTGGTCACCCAAGAAGACGTCGAGTTGGCATACCAAGAAGCCATGATGAACATGGCGCGGCTCAACAGAACAGCTGCAGGACTTATGCACACATTCAACGCCCATGCGGCCACTGACATTATGGGTTTCGGGATTTTGGGCCATGCACAGAACCTGGCCAAGCAACAGAGGAACGAGGTATCATTTGTGATTCACAACCTTCCTGTGCTAGCAAAGATGGCTGCTGTGAGCAAGGCCTGTGGAAATATGTTTGGCCTCATGCATGGGACCTGCCTGGAGACATCAGGAGGCCTGCTAATCTGTTTACCACGTGAGCAAGCGGCTCGGTTCTGTGCAGAGATAAAGTCCCCAAAATATGGCGAAGGTCACCAAGCATGGATTATTGGGATTGTAGAGAAGGGCAACCATACAGCCAGAATCATAGACAAGCCCCGGATCATTGAAGTTGCACCACAAGTGGCCACTCAAAACGTGAATCCCACACCTGGTGCTACCTCTTAATCTAAATAGAGATAGCCATTTGGTTTTGTTTTAAATAGATATATTTCCTTTACCATAACTTCAATTAAAGACTACAGTATAAGCAGCAACAAAAATCTCATTGTGTCTACACATCTGGTGACCTTAGGTCGGTTTGTGAGTGGATACAATTAATAAAATGAAATCCATGGCCTTCTTTCCCTGTTACATTACCTGAAGATGCACCTGATCTTGAGGCAGCTTCTGAGTTGAGGATTATATTGTTATTCAATACTGTTGATTCATTTTGAATCTTAGACACGTATCTCTTGCCGCATAGGCTCTTCCTAAAGGTGCTTTCCCACAG